TAAATGGGGTGGGGAATGGGAGGGCAGGGCAGAGGAGGGCATATTGGGAAGGATAAATAATCCTAAAGGCCTTTAGAAAAAGCTATATGGAAACCTACCACTACAGAAGTTTCTTAAAGTGTATATGTACACATCACAAAAAAGAGATTAAAAGGAGTTATCAGGAGTTATCATAAAATGGAGACATTGCCCATTATAGACATCAGAAGCTAAAAAAACACCTCAATGCCAAGAATGGACTCCCTGTCTAGAAGCTGTTGACCAGGAATCCCACTGACCCTCAAACAATACTGGCCATTGCCTCTGCTCTTGGTTTCCCACCAGAACTGGATGGTAGGGCCCTATTGCTGAAGACTCTACATACATGAGCTATAGAACAAACAAGGAAAAATCAAACTGGTGCTGACTTCATTTCTACTGGCTAGCATCCATAGTGCTGGAAGTTACTGTGCAAGCTACTGAAAGGAAAAGATAATCATCAACCTTACTCAGCTGTGAATCCTGTGAACTACGATAACAACTGATCTGGCAAGATATGCCTATCAATGCAACAGTGACACAAACAGAATGGGAGTAACCAACCACTCTTTAACTGGACTTAAGGTCTACTTCCTAGGATGGAGGCCATACCTGACATTGATATCAGGCTTAGGAACCTGAGGGTAAACAGGTCACAGAACATAGGGGAGAACCTAATACTAGTTTCCTATTGAGTAGTTATCATATTAAACTGACTCTTAATGGCTTGTCATACCCATGGATTAATGCATGTCTCATCTTTCACCAGAGACGTTTCATTATGCAACAGATGGTGATTAACACAGAAACACACAACTGACTGCAGAAAGTTTATCCCTGAATAGGACATCTGTATCAAACTCCTACCTCCCAAGGCTCAGGGATCACTGTGGAAGAGACATAAGAGCCAGAGGTGGCAGATGACCACAAGGAAACAGGTGTCGCTTGTCAGTTACTCATATGAACCCACAACAATGGTGACAGTGTGTACAGATTCCATGCAAGCTCAAACCAGGCAAAGTCTCAACATAAACACGAGAAAGTGGGTAAGAAGCTCCAACCCCACCTAAGGAAATTGTGGTAACAGATGGCTATGGGGAGAGGCAAATAGTCTCTTTCAAGAATGAGACTCCTGGTAGGTTAACCAGGCTCCAGTGGGTAGAGCCACACTGAGGGACATTTGGAGACACAAATTAGACTCTGTAGGCCTTATTATAGATATGATAGAGTACATTAAATTGGGGATCGGGGAGGTGATCTAAATACCATCAAATTATATTGTATGAAAATCTCAAAAAATCAATTAACAAAGGGGAAAAAGAAAATGACTCTGAGATATACATGATCTGCAGAGGCCTTAATTTCAGGAGACATGATTTTGTTTAGAAAATGGCATGATTGCATGGCTGTTTGCCCTGACTTAGGAGTCCATAAACAGTGGGACCATTTGGGACCATTTGACACATTCCTGCTATCAAGCACAAGGGGTTTGAGCATTCCTCCAACAGACATGTGAGAGGGAGAAGAAACCCATGCACAACCCTTCATCAGAGTTTTTATTATTGCTTGTTTGTATTTGTGATTGAATTATAGTTCCTAACTATTTGGCACATTAAAGAATTTTTGGAACGCCTAATGAAAGTCTTGGACATTTCCCCAGAAAAGTGTGCATACATACCCAGTGATGCAAATGATTTCATGGGGTTCATGGTTCCCCAAAGTTCACCCACAAACAATTCCCTTTAAAGGTGTTTATGGGCAGAGTTTATAGATTCCTGACACTGCGGTGTGACTCTCAGTTGTCCTACTGCCCAGCTGTGGGATCCTGGGCAAGACTCTCCATAACTCTAAGTTCCATTTCCAGACAGTTATAGGCTGGAGATGATGAACTGCCACCCTGAATAATGCTAAGTATTTAAAGCAGCCCTCAACACAGAGAAGCCCTGTCATCCACAGACTACATGAAAAAATGAGGGGATTAGTAATTGTCAGGTAGAGAAAGAGGTTTACAAGCCTTTGATGTGGATTAAAAGCATTTTCAGGAGAATATAGGAATCTTCTTATTCTGAGAAGCTGCAGGGCGTATTAGGAGGAAGCAACATTGTGTGGTATCAAAGTGGCATTGGCTTTGAAAAGACATGGATTAAACTCAGGTCTGACACTGATTGAGGCGAGTGACTAACGTTCATGAACTGAAGGGAGAGATGACAATGGACCTGTCTCACAGGACACTGAAAATGGAGGTGATGGGTAGAAAGCACATTGTGTTAAAGGCCTCAGAAACTTTTTCTAATAGGCTTTCTGAATCTCTATTTCTTTACCTGTACAATGGAGATGATATCTATGCCCACCTAGAAAACTTGTATGACTTAAATCAAAAACCAGTTGTAAAAACTTTTAAAACAGCACCTATTTGGATATGAATGTGAACTCTCTTTTCATTGACTCCTGTGTCTGAACACTGGGTCCCTAGCTGGTGGTACTGTTTGGGAAGGTTGTGGAATCTTCATGAGGTGGAGCCTTGCTGCAGAAGCCACTGTGGACAAACCTTGACCTTTTACAATCTGGCGCTATTTCCTATTTACTTCCTGCTTCCTGGGTATGGAGGCTCTGTGACCAGAGTGTCTCCTGTTCCTGGTCATGATAGAATGATTCTCTAGAACTGTAAGTCCAGAATAAACAATTTTTCCCTTAACTTGCTTTTGTTAGGGATTTTTAATCACAGAAATAGAAAATGTAACTAGTAAAGCTCTTAATCCACAGTTAAGTCCTTGACAGGTGGTAATTGCCATGAATGTTTTATTGCAACAACAACAACAAAGCGCAGCTAGGATGGTAAATAAAAAAGAACTTGGCCTTTTATTTAGACAGAAAGCCAGGCTGAATTCATTACTGTTGTCATTAGTGTGACAAAGAACCTAAAAGAACCATCCGAAGGGAAGACAGGTTTATTATGGCTCATGAAGGTTAAGTCCTCAGAGGTTTAAGCCCAGTCTTTGGCTCCACTGATTGCAGCCTCTGTGATTCAGAAGATGCATCCTGGTGGTGGAAGCACAAGGCAGTAGAAGCTGTTCATCTCTCACTGACAGTAAACAGACAGACAAAGGGCCCAGGGGCAAGACATCCCCAAAGATCTGCCTTTGTGACTTGCTTCTCTCATCTCCCAAAGTTCGAGGAACCTTTCAAAATAGCATCATGGGGGATGGGGAAATGATTCAGCTGTTAAGAGCAATTCCTGCTTCTCCAGACCTGAGTTCAGTGCCTAACTCTCAGGTCTTGTAGCTTGCAACCACATGTCACTCCAACTCCAGGGTATCTAATGCTCTGTTTTGTCCTCCTGTCCTCCACAGGTACTTGCAAACATCACACACATGCACACACACACACACACACACACACACACACACACAACCACATAATAGTATCACTAACATCACTAGCTCGGCAGTAAGCTCCCCCAACACATGAGCTTTGGAGCAGCCCCAAAACACCTCACGTCCAAATCATAACATAAGTAAAATATAGAAACAGCTAAGAAGATGGTATACCTCCTGGACCTGCTCTCTGAGAGCTGTGTGTGTTACCTTAGGAAATTTAGATTAAAATAGGAGATCCTAAAGGAAGCAGCTCATGAAAATACCTTAGTGCTGACCCAGCACAGTATATGTGCTCAGTGAACCCCAGTTTCTTCCATAATGATTACATGTAACATAGAGACTGACCTTAAAACATGCTCCTCTGCAGCCATGCAGTCTGCAGGTAAGGTAGCAAGCATTCTGTTTGCTGAGATTTGGCCACAGCAGAGGGAGGTAACAAGTATTAGGAACAGTATAGACAGGAAAACAACAGAAGACTTCTTACTCCGTTGCACTTCAATGTAAACTAGTTCAAGTTTTAAGTGGAATAAAAGGTCATTTTGGGAGCACTCTATCCAACCTTCACCACTTTCCTCCTGGATTTCTCTTTTGCCGGTAAACAGTGCCCCACCTTTACTCCTTCCCATGAACAAAGAGGGTATGAATCTTGAACATCCAGTGTCTCCTAAATTGACAGCTCCTAGTTTAGATTTCTGTCTTCTTTCTGTAAGAGTTAGTGCAAGTCAAAGCTTTTCAACATATCCCCTCTTGAACATCCAGTGTCTCCTAAATTGACAGCTCCTAGTTTAGATTTCTGTTCTTCTTTCTGTAAGAGTTAGTGCAAGTCAAAGCTTTTCAACATATCCCTGTTGCAACGGATCTTCATTTATGGTCTTACGTCAAAGCCCTTCTCCCCTCCACTCAGTCCCATCTGTCCCCTCCTAACCTATCTTCTGAGCTTTTGTAAGTGATGTCACATTGTTTCTTCCACAGAGTTAAAGGATGGGTGTTTGTTTTCTGGCTAATAAAGACACTCAGACTCTGTTAATCAGAACAAGAGAAGAACAAGATGACCTGTTCTTAGGAAACTGAAATATAATTGAACAAATGATCATATCAAGCGGAGGGAGGATATGGGGAAAAGCAGAGACTCTGTGGACAAGAGAATAAATTGGCTCAGCCTTTCTCAAGGATAATTTTGGAATCGCTATTAAGTTTAATAGTGTACATTTTTCAAGAGAGCATTTCTCCTTCTTCAATACCAGCACACCTAAAGAAACACTTGCAAAGACGCCTCGGGAAGTACACACAAACGTGCTCAGCAGTGCTGTCTGTAATGCTCAAACACTGGGGCAGCTAAATGCCACTCAACAGGCACCAGGTACTGTGAGGACAGACAGTATGCAATATTATATAGCAACTTAATGCCACAAGACAGATCTCTACATGAAATGACAAAGAAAGTGATATAATATACAACAGGCAGTGAATAAAGCCAAATGCAAAAGGCTTCATGTGACACAAATGGATTTAAAGCAAAACATGCACAAGGCGAAAGAAGACAAAGAGCAAGGACCCACAGTAGCTATGGTTACTGTCTGCAGAGGTCAGGGGAGGAAGGAGTTGATGCATAGAGTTACAATTGCTATCTGCCCTACAGGTCACAGAACTGATGCAGTGCCATGGAGAAGAGGTTGTTCACAACATAAACAGGTGACTATCAATGAGGACCTGCCCAATCCAATGGAAAACGCTTGTATGGATTCTTTTAAGGAATATATCTTATAGGGCTGGAGAAATGGCTCAGCAGTTAAGGGCACTTGCTGCTCTTTCAAAGGACCTGAGTTTAGTTCCCAGTACCCACATTGGGCATCTTACAGTGGCCTGTAACTACATCCTCCAAGGGGTCCATGACTCTCTTTGGCCATCCTGGGAACCAGCATATATGTGGTATTCACTCAATAGACACATAGACATACACACAGAAAAAATGAATAAAAATCAATCCTAAAAAAAAGAAGTAATGTACCTTGTTGGCCAGTGAGATGGGTAAAAGTCCTTACCCTACAAGCCTGGTGATCTGCATTCAATCCCCAAAACCCGTGTAAAGGTGGAAGGACAGAACTGACTCCACAAGGTTGTCCTCTGACCCCCACATGCATACTGTGGATGGATGCATGCATCCACCTCTCATATGCACAATAATAATAAATGAATAACTTTTTTAAAAGAAATGTATCTTGCATGATAAATATGTTGGTTATAAGAATGTACGGCTTTTACTCCACTTTATTTCTCCATTTATTGGATGTATGTTTGAAAATCATATAAGGGGGTCTTTGTGGGGGAAAAAACAGAAAGAGATAACAAAAGCAATTCAGGGAGCTCAAATTATAGGGCTTTTATAAGTTATATACAAGGACCCTGCATAATTCAAAGACCCTCAATATTAAAACATTAAATACTGGGAATAAATTTTATAAAGTCATTGCCAATGGGGGAAACATACACACATACATAAGGCAATAAAACAAAAGATCTAGAATAGTCTTCAACTAACAATAATGATGTCTCAGGGGAAGGGGTCTGGAATTGCGAACACTCAAAGGGAATGGTTTCACGTTGTCTTTATGTACCCTTAACAAAAGCACCTTAGCTTGGTGTTTGTATGGTTTAAATAAATTAATAATGGTTTGGAAAATAAGTAGATGATTTTCCTGCTACCCTTCCTGGCTTCAAGTCAGAAGCTGCTAAGGGAGCGAAGTGGGGAAGGGGTTGCTCAAGAGAGAGGCCTTGGAAAGCAGCAGAAGGCAGAGGCCAGTGTGACGGTTTCACTTTCCTCCCAGCTCACAGGAGGATGTGGGATGGAGCCACAATGGAGCCAGTGTGGTTGGTTCCCAGACACACAGACAGGCAAATGTCGATTGTTCCCATGGCCAGAGCCAAACCTCTCAAAGAGCAGATGGAGCTCCCTTACCTCCAGGCTGAGAAATCCTAATAGTCTTTGTTTCCCACTCCTTCACCTGGGAGGTTGATGGGAGAACCCAAGCTTTGGACCCTTGAAAAACAAAATCAGAAAACAAAGTCCTCCTGAGTGTCAAGCCCACAGAATAATAGCAGATATACTAGAGATACCATGTCCTGCTGAAGAACACCAATGATTAAAGAGGGTTCTCCCTCCTCCCTCCGTTCCCCTCCCCTTCCCTCTAAGCGGGGGGTGGGGGGTGGGGTGGGGTGAAAGAACCACAGGCCCAGCCCCAATGTCAACATGTGCAATCCAGGTGGGAGGAAGGATAGGGGGCAAATTCCACCCACCTGTAGATGTGAGCGAGGCAGGGTCCGGGGAAGCAGCCTCCGTGCTGCTCTGAGAGTCCCTTGATGGGAGAAGAGTTTCGGGTTCTGGAAAAGAAAAATGAATAACAAAAAACACTAGTAAAAAACAAGTGTTGATGGGTTTGTGTCGAGTGGTGGGGTTTGGTGCTCTTTTGGCAGTCATCTTTGTATTTATTGAGACATTTCCAGTTTTCCTCAATAACTTAATATATTTTCAGAATCAAGGAAAACAGGCTGCATTTTTATATTGTTTTAAGATGATTATTTTAAGGACTGGGAAGATGGCTCAGACAGTAGAGTACTTACTATAGAAGCAAGAGGATCTGAGTTTGGATCCCAAGGCTGCATGTAAAAAGCTGGTCATGGTGGCATGCACTGTAACCCCAGCTGAAGAGGCAGACAGGCAGGTTCCTGGGGCATGCTTGCTAGCTAGACCAGCTGGAACTTTGAGCTCCAGGCTCAGTGAGAGACCCCATCGCAAAAGTGAAGATACAGCGTGACTGAGGAAGACAGCTGGCATCAACCATTGGCATCCGTACACAGCCACCTGTATATACATGTCACACACCCAGGAGCACATCTGAATACACACAAGATAATTGCTTTAAAACCCAAAGGAACATTAAGTACCTATGAAACTCGATTAACTTAGAGTTCAATAATGTTACTGACTACTCAAAGTATAGGAGAATCGGCCAATTCAGTATTGGAAAGCTGTTTGAATTACCCAGGTCTTTGTGAGGCAGCTAACATGCCTGGGAAGCCATCGAGCTACTTCATGATGACTTTCTGATATTCTTACTCCATAATGAGAAGCATGGGGGAGCCTTAACAAGCCCCCAAGCAATAGAGCATGTCACCCAGGGATACAAGATGCAGCTTCAGGAAAAACTTGGAGAAAATATAAAGAAAGAAGGAAAGGAAGAAACGGATAGAACCGATTTGCCATCAAGGGAATTTTTACTTCTTTAATTTTTATTAGAATGTATCAATTATACATACTGTTTCATCATGACATTTCATACATGCATATAATCCATTATTATCATAGTCACTCCTTATTACCCTTTCCTGTCCCCTCCCCCTCCCAACTAGTCATCATTATACTTTCATGTTGTGTGTGTGTGTGTGTGTGTGTGAGAGAGAGAGAGAGAGAGAGAGAGAGAGAGAGAAATCCAGTGAGGTTAACCTGAGTTGTTTACAGGAGCATGGGTGATGGGTTATTAAAATCTACTAACCACCGTAATTCAATCAATCCCAAATGCCCAGACAGAGATTTCACCCCTGAGAAACTGGTCTATGACTTGAGTCTGATCTGGAATAACCTTCAGTAAGCAGATTCTGGAAGAGTCCTTAGAATCAAGTGGAGAACCCAAAATGCCGACTTTTCAAAAACACAAAGGAAAAAACAGACAGACACACACACACACACACCGAAAAAAAAAAAAAAGTTTGCAAAGCAAAACCACATACCACACACACATATACACATACGCACATACATACGCACATGCACACACACACACACACATACACCCAAAACAAAAAAAAGCAGTTTGCAAAGCCAAACTACATACCCACCACACATACACATATACACATACGCACATACGCATGCTCACACACACACACACACACACATATGCACACACACTGTTTTGGGCTACAAAACAAAATACAAAATCCACTGTTGTAGTGACAGTGAATAGACCTTTAAAAATTCTCCTCCTCTTCCTCCTCCTCCCCTTCCTCCTCTTCCTCCTCTTCCTCCTCCTTCCCTTCCTCCTCTTCCTCCTCCCCTTCCTCCTCTTCCTCCCCCTCCCCTTCCTCCTCTTCCTCCTCCTCCTTTTCTTCCTTCTTCATTTTACTTTATTTTAACACTTTTATTTTGTGCTGGGAATCAAGTCTATGGCTCTATGCATCCTAGGTAACTACAAGAGTGATTTGACTACAGTTCCCCTCAGTGCTTCAAAGTTTGAATGCTTTCAGATATATCTATTAAAGAAGTAATGAAAGTAAAGTGAGGTCGTGTGGATAGATCCTAATTCAAAATGTCTGGTATCTTTCTAAAACATTAGGACACAGAAGGACAGATAGACAGGGAAAGGACCTGTGAAGACAGGCAGAGATGCCTGTCTACAAGCCCAAGAAATGGCAGTTAGAGAAAAAAACAACTCTACTGTTAGGACCTGTGAAGACAGGCAGAGATGCCTGTCTACAAGCCCAAGAAATGGCAGAGAAAAAAACAACTCTACTGTTACCTTAACCTTGGACGTCTAGTCTCAGAACTGTGAAGAAACAAATTTCTATTGTTGAGGCTACCCAGTTTTTTATGATAGCTATAGCAAACTAACACTCATACACACACACACACACACACACACACACACACACACACAAAGCAGATCACCAACTTATTCATTAAGTAGGAGAATCCTGTTTTAAGAAAACTGAGACCTGTCTGATCAGCAGAAGGAAAGGATGGGAAATTCTCACCTGCAGTGATGACAGACCCCTCCATGAATGTTTCGGTGGTTAATTGGCCTGTGGTTTCCTCTGAGGACCTGGGCATTGTCAGGGAGCAGGTGGTTGCTGCAGTTGTGAGGGCAGAGGTGGCCTGTGTCTGAGGTGGCATTCCAGTTGTGGAGTCAAGAGTGGTCATAACTGTTGTTGGAAGCATCTCTGTCGTGGTTGTCACGTCCAAGGTTGTGGTTGGGAGAGAGGTTGTTGTTTGTCTTGTGGTTGTTGCTCGTCGTGTCGTTCCTGGGGCTGTAACAGCAGGTATGTCTCTCACCAAGTAGAGATGGAGGAGAAGGAAACAACACAGGCATATTTGTGATCTGTCCATTCCTCTCCACATCTATTGGCCTCACCTGGTCTGCTGGCACTGACCATTGTTATGTTCATTACAGCTGGGTTTCTTGCCTGCATTTCTGTCCTTACCAATTTGTCACACACTGGCTGCAGAAATTCTAAAACGCTACAAATCTAATTATGACTATTCCTTCCTTAAAACTCATATGCAGCCTCTGACTCGCAGATAAAGAACTCAGGCCTGATCTTTGGCCTGCAAAGCGCCACCAGCTCTCATCCTCTGTCTTCCCAGCCACATGCCGCTACCCCCTCGCTTCTCTCAGCCAGCTGCTCCTTTTTAACTTCTTTGACTGCAGTCATGACCTTCCAGGTGCAGGAACTTCTTCACCTGTTGGATCTTATTCTCAGTCTGACAGCTCATCCCCTTCACTAGGCTGACACCAACTCTCATGTCTCAGTGAACAGCTCACTTCTATGTAGCAGCAAGATGTCTTCTCAGCTACATGTGCTAATACCTTTTCTTCACATTTACAGAATTTTAAAAATATTTTTTTTATTTATTTATTTTTGGTCTTTTTGAGACAGGTCCTCCCTGTACCCCCAGCTGACCTGGAACTCACTATGTAGACCAGGTTGGCCTCGAACTCACAGAGATCCACCTGCCTCTGCCTCCCAAGTGCTGGGACTACAGGTGAATGCCAGCACGCCCAGCTTATTATTTTTATTTTATGTGTATGAGCATATTGTCTGCAGGTGTGTAAGTGTACCTGTGCCACGCAATATCAGGAGAGGGTGTTAGATCCCCTGGAACTGGAGTTACAGACAGTTGCTAGCCACCATGTGGGTGCTCAAACCCATGTCCTCTGCAAGAGCAGCCAGTGCTCTTAACTGCTGAGACATCTCTCTGGCCCCACTTTTATGGAACTTTATAAATACATATTTATTTGATTATTGTTGAATGTCTCTCCCACTAGAAGAAGCTTCTCCATAGGAGAATCTGATATTTATTTTGTTCTCTATTTCAAATCCAATACCTATCTATGTCTAGCACATAGTAGGTGTTCAGAAGCATTGTGTAAATGAATTGTTGCATAAGAGTAAGCCCAGGTGTCATGAAGTACACTGGCAAGCGCTTGGAACCTGAGGTAGAAGGAACTCAGATTCAAGGTCAGCCTTGGCTAATAAAAAAGTTGCAGGTCAGCCTGGGCTACATAGTGAAATATTGTCTCAAAACAACAATCAACTAACCAAAGTGAGACCAAAGTATTTGGGTAAGGGTAAGAATATAGACTCCCCCAGATATTAAAGACTGACTTCCGTCAACATCTCTCACTCCATTAACAGAATTTGGGTTCATTAGCCACAATTTACTGTCGTACTTTCGCCCTCTCCAAAAAACGCCAAATTTCCATAGGATTTAATAAAGCAGAAAGACACCATCTGTCCCCACCGAACTTCGAACTGACCCTGAGAGTACTGAGGTCAACAGTAGTCTATAAACTAATAGCTACTTATACTAGGCAAGAAAAGAGATGACTCGGGTCGGAACCATTAAATTTCAATAAGCTTCACTTTCTTATTTTGCAATAAAAGTCAGAATAATTCCTCATTTCTCACAAAGTAGTTGTAAGAGTAAAATGTATTAGTGTGTATGGAAACTCTCTAATCAAAAAGAATCGCTTCTGATTTTAGGGCACGTCAGAACCATCTGAGAAGCGTAAGAGCATAGTTCTCCATCCCTGTCTCCCAAGGTGAAGATCTGTTAGGCACAGAGTCCAAGCATCCTCCAGGTGATGCTGATGCAAGGGTAAAAGCCCAGCTCTCCTAGGGAGTGCCAGGTCAGTGCACTGAAGGTACTTACAAAATCCAACCTCAGGGTCCGTGCAGCCTTTTCTATGCAGCTCAAACTTTAGGAGTCCTACCACATCCCAAATTTGACCCAATGTGTCTAACAGTAATAAAAGGAAAGAGGGTCTGAAAAGTGCCGGGGCTGGCACCCAATGCCGTACCCTTTCCCTCTACCACGAGACACAAATTATTCATGTTCAGGCTCAGATAACCCAGGGATATCTGATTTAGTTCACACAATATTTTTTTCCTCTTATTTTGGAATCAGTCAACATGCAAGAAATCAATATAGTTTGTATAAAAATCAGGAGATCTGGAAACATTGGATCCAAATTTGTGCAAGGTGACAGTCAACACCTAGTTATATAGCAGCTGCCATCTTCAAATTGACTCTGTCTTTTATTGGCTCACTCATCTCGCTTCCCTAACTGTTCTGGCTCTGAGGGGCATGTTCCCTGCAAGTACTATGTTTGGTTCATTATCTGAAATCCAACCATCCCACTCCCTGCTCAGGTAAGCACACCCTCTTCACCAGCACACACTGAGTCTGTTAGCCACAAATCACGGAACTCGTCCCCAGACACAAGCCCCTCCATTTCCTCACCTCGCCTCAGTTTCAGGTGAATATTCCTCTTCACGTCATTGAACCAGCCAGGCACTTCTATGCGGCAGCAGTACGTCCCACTGTCATCTTCACTGGCATTTGAGATGGTCAAGGAGACATCACCTTCCTTGATAGTCCCCTGAAGACTGTATTTTGTTGACTTTCTGGAGATCATTTTTGATCCATCCGTGTGGACGAGCTCCTGGTTGCACTTGGATTTGGGACATGTGCCTTTGCCCCAGCACATGCTGTTGTGGTTGTGAGACCAGGATGAATACTGACACGGCAAAGTCACCGACTGACTCAAAACCCCTATCACAGTATCCTGTGAAGCAGATGGTGCTACAGGGGGAAATAAGAAAGCTAAGTTATGCTGAGGAAAGTCTCTCAGATGTGCTCTATCATTTTTGTGCAAATAGAGGCTACAGAGAGCAGCAGTCCATGCATTCCTTCAGCATGATTGTTGATGGGCTGGCTGGCACGTCTGAGCTCCCAATTCCACAAGCTTCTATAGCCCCAGTTGTAGACAGGTACTTCCTGAGACTCTAAACTCATCTCCATGGCAAGATTTTTCCCTGATTTAAACACTTTTATCTCTAGTACCATTCAATAAACCAAATCTCAACTGCAGAGGCCAGTCCCTACGATCCAACTGCCATACTTCAATACTGCAAATGTAAAAGCCCACTGATTCTATGAGCACAAGCAACTGTTCTAAGCTCCAGACCTCCTGTCAAAAGTTATTGAAGTAGAAGCAAAGCATGCTGTAGTTCTCAAATCCTTAGGATGATATCCTGCTCTCTCAGGGATCTGGGTCTTGGCTCTTTGTCTTCCCAGTCTACCTTCCTGTGAGAGTGTCCATTCAGTAACTCTGCTGAGTTAGCTGGTCGACTGTAAGTTATATGGCATGATCAGGAGCATCGGCGCCCCACCCTGATTCAACTGTCAAGAACATCCTGGTGTTCCACCCTAGGAAAAAGTGAGCCCGAGTCCTAAGACGCTAAGCAAAACCATATAATTCCTGAGTGCATCATAGTGGGGCTGTGAATTGGAAAGTAGAAATTTAATATTTTCTATTGCTATTCAAAAGTGGGCATGAGTTGTAAGATGCTAAGCAAAGCCAAATGCTTCCTGTATTCATTATAGCAGGCTCTTGTGATAAAAGGCCATTTCATATTTAGGCCAGCTTGAAGCCTTTCTTCACTTGGCCACAGTAGAGATACTTTGACAATTATAAATGCATTTGGAAATCTATTTTGTCCATCATAAAATCAGGAAAGAAATGAAAACTCTATCGCCGTTACTTTCAACTGTGGTAGCAACACAGCAAAAATGTGACCTACTTCCTGTGAATATTTGGTAGCTATATAAGCATAATTTCTGCTGGAGATTCAACACTTTATTTTCCTGTGCACTGTAGTAATAAAGAAGGGATCCCATTACACAGTTTTCTAAAAGACACAATAGAAAAAACTGATAAAGAAGACCACAGATAACTCATACATGAGGACACAGAAGCAGCCAATAAACTTTACTAATTAGACTGGCAAAAATTTATAACACTGGTCATACCAAGTATTGGCCAGTGTGTGAATAATCAGAGCACCCCAGACACTAGAGGCAGACTCAGGTTTCAGTAGCAAACTGGAGTAAAATGGAACTGTGAATTGGGGAAGGACAATTCGATTGTTTCTATTGCTATTCAATACACATGTGTCCTAGCTACGTCTTGGCACTGCAGCTTCTGTTACCTGCCTTAGAAAAGTGCATGTGCCTAAGGAGCCCATTTGCTAAGGTTTATTGCAGCCTCCATATGCCTGTGAATGGAATGGATAGTATGTGCATGGTGATGTCTAAACTATAGTGTGCTTGGAATTCATGGACTTCTATGTAGCTTGATAGTACTCGACAGACCTGCATGGTTGAACATGAAAATCCCCAGTCCACTCTAACGAATAGGAAGAACAGATTTTGCAATGAAACATACGATATAAGATTTCTTTCGTGAAGTGAATATATAGAACAGATGGCATCTTCTTATGGACTCTGGGCTATGAAAGCAGATGCATAACGAGTGTCTTCTGAGACAGATAGACAGCAAGCTCAGGTACCAACCAGCCCCTCTATGATGAGAGGAATGGACCGAACTGGACATACAGATGAGAAGAGATTTTTAACTTTATAACATTTCAGGTTTTACCCCCAAAGTTTTCATATTACTCATCTTGTTAAAAATTACTATAAAAGAGGAAGCAGCTTACTGTGGCAGGAAAAGCCCCATTAGGCTGACATTGTGAACGACATTCTGCTAGTTTGTGCTTTTGGATTCTTGGAGAAAAGCCACACTTTCACCATCGTAAGACACAGAGGATAATATGTGCTGCAAAAAGTGTTCTGAGGTTCATAAAGCACAAGCATCATGCAATTAGCTTCACATGCCCCATGGAATTACCGAAGCATCAGAAGGAGCCAAACATATTGGAATTTAGAACTAGGACAAGAACGTTTCCTCCAGCTATAAAAGTATCGTAGAGAAAAGGAATCATTGGGATAAAATAAGTTTCTCCTCTGGAATTACCCAGAATGGGCACAAGCTCGGTGCTGGTGCCAGCCTGGTTCAGCACTCCAGTGGGTGACTTTTACACAAAGTCCTTTCCGAATTCCAAGTCCCAGTTTTAACAACCAGAGTGAGGTTATCACTGGGCATCTCCTCAGAGCAGAGCTGCTTTTGATCTTTGCAGATTCTGAGCCATCATTCTCCTCGAGGTTGACCATTTAAATACAGGCACATTAAAAAACATAAAGAAGGAACCAGGCATAGTGGTACGCACCTGTAATTCCAATACTCAGTAGGCAGAGACTGGAGGATTGAAAACTCAAGGCAGCCTGAGCTACACAGCAAGACTGTGTGTCAAAACAAAAACAGTCAAGTAAGCAAACAAGAAACGATCAGTTCTCCAGGTTCTGACTCTTTTAAGTAAGGTTTGAGAAGCCCATTCTATCTCTGTCCTATCACAGATAGGACATATGGACACAGATTCCAGCAAATTTAAACATAACAAAGCTCTCTAAACCTCAAGTTCCCAAAGAGCTAGACTGCAGTTTTATTACATAACAAAAAGAGTGCTTGGGCCATGTATCTTGGCACACATCTGTAATCCCAGCACTCAGGAGGCTGAGGTAGAAGAAACCCAAGCTGAAGCCCAATCTGGGTTACATAGATATTGACTCAAACAAATGAATGAATGAATGGATGAATGAATGAATAAGTAAAGCACTCACACAAATCCCCCAAAGAAGGTATGAAAAGAAGAAAGACTATTTTCATTCCACAGATTGCTTCTTGAGTATCTTCTATGTACCCACGGCATCAGGTGCCTGGTTACAAGAGGAAAAACAGAACTAGCCTATTCTCTAGTAGCTGCAGAGTATCTGGGAAAGTGGAGCACCATGAGCGAGTAGTTACTATGGGTGAACTCAGCAGAAACCCCTAAGACAGACTAGATGCTGTGGGTTACCAGAGAAGCTTACCTTTACTAGAGATCTGAGTTCACCTCCTCAATGCAGGAGTGAAAGAAAGAGACAGAATGATGTAAGACACATTTGTAAAGTCAGCGTTAGTGACCCAGAGGGTTGCAGCCCCAGGCAGAGCAGGGGCTGTGCACCTCAGAGTGTCCATCCAAACTGTCCGTGCATTTGTACCTGCCAAACCCTGAAAACAGTATGCAGAAAAGATATCTCACCTTAACTAAGCACAGAGACACACACCTATAATCCTGCCACTCAGGAGGCTGAAGCAGGAGGATTATTAAGTGCTAAGAAGCTAAGGCTAGGGAATGAGACACTGTCTCACATGTCTCAAAAAAAAAAAAAAAAAAAAAAGCCAAACAGGAGGAGAGACAGAGACAGAGACAGAGAGGTGGGAAGCGAGAGAGCTCCCTTTGAAGCACCATCCCTAGCAAAGCAAAATGAAATAAAAAGCAAACAAATTCTTCTGAAAACAAAACGAATAATTAAAATTAGAACCAGGGCCCTTGGCAGAACAGACCATCCTACGTCCTGCTGTATAACACCTGCAGATGAAATAGCTTATGCTCATTCATCTGAACTCAGCCATCTTATTTCAATGTGTTTGATTAAATTGCTATTTGCAATCTAAGCATCAATTACCTCACTAGGAATCCTCAAATCTGTTTCTAGAAAAAAAAGAAAATCATATAACAAGGCAAGAAAAAAACCCTATGAACAAATGGAACTCTGGAAAGATGAGGAGGAATTTAACGGAGCCTATTACACTACAATCTGCCCTGCAAAGGGCTCTACATGGAGGGCTTCAAAATACTTACTCAGATAAAGGCACCCAAGCTCCATCACTAGCCAGAGCAGGACAGGACCCTTGGACATTTTGACAGGCGTCTGTGTGTCTGTTCAAAACCCATGCCTTATACTGTACTTACTGCTGACAGGGCTGGACCCTGTAGTTTCGCTTCTTTTTCTGCCTCATAATCTTCCCTTTCCCTCATCCTGAATGACTTCCTTCAATGTGGGATGTATAAGAAAATGTGCTGAGCACTTTTCTCCTGATAACCAGGGTGGGTGTATAAATGTGTTGAGTGATAGTGTTGGTGTCCACGCGCTTCTTGCCCATAGGTACTTCCTATGTGTGATGAACATCCATCTGTGTGTACATGCTTGTGTGTGTGTGTGTGTGTGTGCGCGTGTGTGTGTGCACGTGCGTAACATGTGCACAAGTCACATTCATCCTGTCGTGATAAATGCAATGAAGTCTTCCTCATGGTGGTCAAAGTAAAGTTAGGCTGGAATTTGGCTCCATTGGGTTCCCACTCACCCTGAATCCCTGCCCTCTCAATGGTAAAAGAAAAGCAGGGTATAATCAATCACCCTTAGTACCCCAAACTATTAGACTTCTTTGGGAAAGGGAAGAAGAGCCTCTGTAGAAGAAAGAAGCTTTACTGTGGTGATTACAAGAGACACTCAGCAGCAAACAGACCAAAGATCAACACCACCACTTGATAATGAAGCCTGATAGAGAAAAGCGCAAAAGATAGGTTGTGGGGCAGGGAGATGGCTCCATGGGTAAACGCACTTACCATCAAGTCCAAATACTTGAGTTCAATCCCCCCGGGACCACATAGCGGAAAGAGAGAACCTGTTCTTGAAAAGTTGTCCTTTGGGGGTTAGAGAGTTGGGTCAGTAGTTAAGAGCACTGACTGCTCTTGCAGAGGACCGGGGTTGGATTCCCAGCATCCACATGGTGGCTAATAACCATCCATAACTCCAGTTCCAGAGGAATCTGATGCCCTCTTCTGACCTCTGAAGGCATTGCATGACATGAGTGCATTTACACACATGCAGCCAATACATTCATGCACATAAAATAAAATAATAAAATGTTTTTTCCAAAAAAGAAAAGCTGTCCTCTGACTTCCACACACATGCCATGGTGTACTTGCGCGCGCACATGCATGCACACGCACACACACATACACACTAAAATTTAACCATATTTTTTAATATGCTCAAGCTGTGAACCAGATGACAGGGCCTGAACCAGAGGATTTCATAGTCCTTTGGAATTCTACAGACACAATGATACAACCAATGTTACTGAATGAGGCAGAGGAAGAATCAGGCCAATCTTCATTGACCTGGCACTCTGCTAAGTTATATATTATATTGTTTAAGTCTCAAAACTCTAGAAATAGATATGAATTTTCCCATTTAATAGACAAGGAAAAAATGAAGCTCAAAGGGTTAAATAAATTACTCACTATGCACAGTATAAAAGTTGCCAAAATAGGACTCAACCTCAGAACTTGCTGATTGCAAAACCTACGTTCTTAATCATCACATCTTCTGATCTTGACCCTTAGGGAAAGGCATGCTTAAGACCAAGGCTAACCTGCCCAGCATGGAAAGAAAATTTGAGGATGCACAAATGTGTTAATATTTTTTCATAAAAATCCTCATTTGATTATAACCAGTTAGCTGAGATGCAATTAACTGTGCTCATGTTGTAAACATATAAATATCAAGAAAGGATCTACACTCAGAGAAACTGTCAGATAGGAGACAGAGATGAAGTAGGAGAGTCGAGGCTGGAGAGATGGCTCAGCAGTTAAGACCATTGACTGCTCTTGCAGATAACCCAGGTTCAATTCCCAGCACCCACATAGCACCTAACAACTGTGCATAACTCCAGTTCCAGGGGATCAGATGCCTTCCTCTGACCTCCACAGGCACTGCACAACATTAGTGCACTTACATACGTGCAGGCAATACACTCATACACAAAAAACAAAAATAATAAAAAATAAATTAAAAAAAAGAAAACAAGCAGAGTCAGAGAAAATCTTCCCATGAATGCCCACAGACAGCAGGATGCTTTTCCTGCTCTGTCCTTCAAGAACATGGGAGAGTGAGCGTTACTCTAAAGGAACAGAATTTATAAAATGTTTACAGGTATTGACATTTGAGGTTCTACAAATACCAGCTAAGTAGCATTCCTCCATGTCTCCACTTCAGTTTCTGCAACAAGATTCCTGCCTTGAGTTCCTGCTTTGACTTCCCTTGATGAAGGGCGGAACTATTAGCTGAAATACACCGTTTCCTCCCTAAGTTGGGTCTGGTCATGATGTTTATCTCAGCAACAGAAAGCAAATGAGAGCACCACCCAATACTCCTTCGGTAAGGTCAGGAGTACATGACCCCAGCTATGGACAGAGAATTTGTAATTTGCCTTAGTTGTGTCACTTTTAGATATGAGTAGATGACCAAGGCTCACCAAACACTTGAAGAAAGACTAGCTTGAGCAAGAGATAAAGACAACCAGGGAAACTTTAAAGCACTGACTGCTCTTACAGAGGACCCGAGTTCAATTCCCAGCACCCATATGGTAGCTAACAACTATGTGTAACTCCAGTTCCAGGGACTCTGACGCCCTCTTCTGACTCCCACAGGCATTGCATGACACAGGTGCACTAGCATACCATGCAGGCAATACACTCATACACATAAAATAAAAATAACAAAATATAAAAAAGACTATTATAAAGATCTGCGTGAATACAGATAAATCAAAATTTAATTCCATTTCTTAGAGAACTGTGAAAGAGAAAAATGTTACAAAGCAAGCAAATGAACAAGGAGATAAAGTCATAGGATCTAGAAAACAGAATATCTGATTTATAGAAAGGAACATTTCAGAAAGACAAATGAAACTGCCTCAGTTCTTTATCACTGAATCACATACCACCCTAAAACTTACAGATTAGACAATTTGACATGACTCCCAGATATGACTTTACTCAGCTGATGTTGTGATTTGAGTATTAAATGCTATCCTCAGGTTCATGTTTAATATACTTGGTCTTCAGCTGGTGGTACTATTTTGGGGGTCTTGGAACCTCTGGGACAAATTAGAGGAAGAAGGTCACTGGTGACATGACTCTGAAGCTTATGCTGAGTCTCATACCCTCTTCTCTTTCTGCTTCCCATCCACCAAGAAGTACAGAACAGCTACATATTCCTTCAGCCATGATGTTTCACATTAAGTGCAGGGAGCCAAGCAACCACAGACTGGGCCTTCTAAAGGTAGAAGCCAAAACAGATCTTTTCTCCCTCAAATTGTTTCTGTCAGGTATTTGGTCTCAGAATGCAGAAGGCATGAACACAACTGGGCAGAGCTTATTCAAGTGCAGTGGCTGGACCTGGAGTTATCTCAAGAATACCTTGAAGGTTAAAGGTTTGTCTAAGATAACCTTCCATTCAGATGACTGGTCACCAACATGACACTTTTACTTACATGTCTGATTGAGAGAATGATTACAAAGACTTTACATGACCTTTCCACATGGCACCTTGGACTTCCTTAGAGTACATTAATCTCAAATAAATGGATTTTGTACATAGTACTTTTCTTCATCAAAACTGAGCGTTCCATCAAGCTCAGGAACAATCTGCAGTTTTTTGATGATTTAGCCTTGAGTATCACTTCTATAGTACTCTGTTGGCTAAAAACCAAGGTGTATGATCACCCCATATTCAAGCAGAGGGAGCAGTTAAAGGGTATGACTCACAGGAAATGTGGCGTGGAGGTTGTTATGGAAGAATCTGGGGGATTAGTTACAATAACCAAGCCGGCTCCAGCAGAGGGCAGAGGATTAAGGTTACAGTCAGTAGTGGAATGTGCAACTGATTACATCATGCATTGAGGTATTTTGAAAATATATTCAGTAGGCCATTGATATGTTAGAATTTTAGGGATTACCTTTCATGGACACTTAAGAAATCAATAAAAGAGAAATAGGACAATTATTATCAGGAAAGATTTAAAAAATGTACAAGAAATTTGTTAAATGTGAAAGATGGTTACGTGGTGCCAGTTAATGTACCAAGGTTGTGACAAACGCTGCCGAGAGAAGACTCAAAAGGAATAAATTATTTATTTTGCCTCTCAGTTCAGAGGTTCCAGTTTATCATGATAGACACAGTGTGGCAGAACACAGCAGCTCACATCATGATAGGCAGAAAGAGGGAGGGGGGGAAAGAAAGACAGAAAGAGAGAGAGAGACATAAAGAGAAAGAGACACAGAGAGAGAGTCTACGCTAGAGGGCTCTCTCTTTTCTCCCCTTTTATTCCATCTGGCCCGCAGCCTGTGTGATGTCACTCACTTTCAGGACACTTCCCATACTCCTTGCTTGATTCTCTCAAGAAATGCCCTCAAAGACATACCTATATGGTTTACTAATCCCATAAATAATTCCTGAACTAAGCAAACTGACAATCAAAATTGATGACAATATACTATCATAATGACATAGAATCTGGCTACTGGCTTAACAGAAAATTGTAGTGTGACTACACTGGGAAGACAGAAAAGAAATCAGGTAGGGGACAATGAACTTCAAAACCTATTCACTTTTACAAGGTAGATAATGTCTCAAATTGTTTAATCAAATTACACCATATAAACACATTATTAACAATATGGAGACAGGGGCTGGAGAGATGGCCCAGTGGTTAAGAGCACCGGCTGCTCTTGCAGAGAACCTGGGTTCGATTCCCAGCACCCACATGGTGGTTAACAACCATCTGTAACTCCAATTCCAGGGGAATTCGACACCCTCTTCTGACCTCTGTGCACATTGCACAACACGGGTGCACTACATACATGCAGGCAATATACTCATGTACGTAAAATAAAAATAGTAAATAAAATAAAGTCAATATGGAGATAATGAGTGGAAGAAAAAGTTTAAAAGGATTCAAATTGAGGGGCTAGAAAGATGGTTCAGTGGCTAAGAGGATTTATTACTCTTCCAGAGGACCCAAGTTCATTTCCCAGAACTCATGTAAAGCACCTCACAACCATTTATAATTCTAGTTCCAGGAGATCTGATGCTC